CTAACAATACAGCTCCAATTGTTGAGTTCCAGAGAGAACCGCTGGTAATAAATGAGAGAGACAGCGCCAGTTTCTCGGTCGTTCGTAGCGGCTTCAACCTCCACCTCCTGACGAAAGCCTGCTACCAGATTCTGCCCAACAGGACCCTGACAAACGCCACGGTCTCCGAGGATTTTTCGCTGATGAGTGGCTGCGTGCAGAGCCACGACCACTGGTGTGCCACCTTCTCTGTCAACCAGACGGAGGTGAGGTGCTCTGTGTTTGCCCGGCCGGACAACCTTCTAGAGGGGAAGGAGAGCGTCTTTCTCCAGCTTCTGCCTGGGCTCCGCTATGGAACTCTTGGTCAGCAGACTCTGCTCAACATCACCATCCTCGACAGGACAGAGCGTGAGTTTTGCTGGACTGTAGACAATTTGTGGTTCAAATGTTGCTGATGATATGGTTGGTTGGTTGGGTATGTAGCTTCCTCTATCTACGTAGCTTCCTCCATCTACAAATGTGATGTTTGTTGTAATTGAGGATGGAAGTATTGTCTATGGTAGACATGTGCCATGAGCAACGAGAGGGACAGCCTCTATAAGTCAAACTGCCCATATTAGGGGCACCAGTGTTTTTTTGGGCACCGTAACTGCTCTAGGTCCTCCTCTTCTCTCTTACCCTGTCATTCCCTGTCTGCGGACCTTCTTCCTTCCTTAACTGCTGTGGTTTTGCACTTCATACCAACAGAATAGGCATCTTACTGCATACACACAATATTTCCTGCCAGACTCCGGGTGTGTGCTCCATGCATGAATAGTGCAATTAGAGCGTGCAGCTATAGACAATAATAGAGAGCATAGATCAGATTTCACGATGACATGTTCACGAGCAAGATATAGATTTTCATATTTCAATCACAGCATTCTTATCTCCCACTCAGGAGGCGGGTTATGTCTTTGGCATGTATATAGGAAAGTTGAATAATGTATACGTGTTCTGTGTAACACCTGTGTTCTGAATACCACTAAATTGCGTTGTCTAGCTTTTATCTCGAGACACAAGACACACCGGACATCCACGTACGTATTTACCATACATGGTTAGCAAGAGAAGGCCATACGGAGACGGTTACATAATCATGCATATGCTGCAACCATATCATGTATGTGGGTACCTTGGCCGCTTTGTTTGTGTTGGCTGCAAGTCAAGCCGAGAGTTAAGGCATTCCTTTCTTCCACGTATCCAGTGTTTACATTCTTTGTCGAATTAATTGCGCTTTGATATATATGGACCTAGGCATTCGGCCGTTCCTTTTAGGTGTATGTAAGTATGTCGTATAACCATGGAGATGACAGAGTTAGGCGCACGGCTAAAAACTGGTGTTGGGTTGTGCAACCAGCCTGTTGTTGTGTGGATATTCAAATTACCCGATTGCCAGGCCAGCAGGCAGGCGTGTGGCCAGACATCTCTTGCAGCTAATGTGTGTTGTGACTGGCAGCTCCCTGCTGATGTTTTGCCTCATGTGGTGCACAGTAACGTACACATGGCTAACAAGTTTATAAGGTCACTATAATTATACGTACCACCAGACTTACGGTATAAACAACCGCGTGGCATGAATAAACACAGCCATGCATGTGTGTACATTGGAGTTGGATGGTTATCTAAACTCCACTTCCTGGTTCAGAGCTGCCAAGAAAGTTTATTGGTTTGTCGCACACACATGCACGAAAGTCGTCCTGCGATTGGGCACGGCAGGCGAGAGTTTGAACTACACTACAACGCTTTAAACTACTAGCTGGTGGGCATTCCACTCTGCCGCCGTGTGTCACACCTCTTGCTTTACATTGCTGTCCATTCACCCAGCCATTTGGCATCTTCCTTTGATGAAAATTCCTCGAGGTGAAAGATGGGTATATACACCGCATTTGGGTTCACACTATTTGTGTCCATCACATGTCCACCAGCACTTTGTAGCTCTGTGTGTTCACCACATGCAATGCACACACCCTTTATGTATGTGTGAACATGGGGGAATGGGTTGTCTTCAGTTTCCACAGTGTTGTCGTGTATGTTGGTTCGATGTTTCTCTGCCACTCATGGCAGTAGGATACTTCCATGTGATGTGGAACGGCTGTTTATGGGACATGTATGTATTTTAGTGGCACAGGGATTTAGATGAAACGTATTAGGGATGAATACCACCACACCTTGTCTAAATGTCACTGGTACGTAAGTTACTGCAAGTGTGCAACCAGCTAAACCTTGGGTCTTGGGAGGAGGACGGCTCTCTCCCTAACTTCTCCTTCATAGAGATCAATGGCATGATTTCAGGCACAACAATAGACTACACAACAGGTGGATATTTATGGAGTGGACGAGTGCCCGAACCCACCCGCGCCTTGTGCTTTTCCGTGAATCAAAAACTGACACCACTGGTTGGTTAACACGTTTAGTGTAACCAGCAGTGGATTTGTGGGACATGAATAGAGTACATGGCACATGTAAGTGGATAAACATGATTCAGTAATTTTAGAGGATGGATTCCGACGATCGAATCAACTGGGGAAAAGTATGTCACTAAGAAGTGACTTCATGGCGAGTGTACTGAAAATCGTATTTCTCACCAGCTAGTGGCTGGCCTGACATTCCCGGCAGTTGCAGGCGTCTCTGCCAAGAGTCTGGGCAGTTTGTTTCAGACCAAAACAGCACCCGTTCCAGTTGGCAGTCAGGAGTGTGTGCACGCGCCTCTATGTGTACACACATCTTGATTACAACACTACATACACTATATAATATACTCTTGATAGGTGTGATGAAATGTATTTTAAGCATGATTATGCAACCTTGTGCACTTGCGTGTGGCCTTGTGTGAGAGGTTGTGATGACAGCTGTCCCGGGCATAAGGAGGTACAAGTGCATAGGGTGATTGCTACTCCTGGCTATTTCCTTTATTGCACTTGTATGCTACAGGTCTTGTGCATGATTATGCATCCTTGTGCACCTGTCTGTGGCGCTGAGCGTGCATAAAACTGGTGGCACACTGTCCCTGGTATTATTGCACAGGATGCTTGCTGCTCCTGGTTGCTGTATTCGTTTTGTATGAAATAAACCTGTCTATCGGGGAAATCTAGTTTAATCACATTTTTTCATGAATAGCGATGTAGAGCCACACCTAATTGCTGGTTTGACAGGCAGTTTTTGGTTGCCAGCAAGTCTGCCTTGCGTCACCTGTTTCAATCTGATTGTATGTAGACATGGATATCACCGAAAAGCAATTTAGAGGCTATTTGGATAAATTGTGTGGCTGATGTGTAAAATTATACCTACACATTTGGTCAATTAACTGTCAGGCATATTGACTTCCTTGCCAGCCTGGTATATAGGTCTTGTAGCAGATGAGGATGGAATTGGCAATTATTGGCGAGGCCCACCTAGTCGCCTGAACTGTGCAAGTTTTCGTGCATGTATAAACACACTAACAGACCTTCTCTACCCATACAGCTGCCCACATAGGGCTGGTGAGCAATGTCTTCCACATTCACGAGAGGGAGGGGCTACAGAGGTTCCCGATCAACCGCAGTGGCTCCATCAACGGAGTCAACAAGATCCTCTGCAAGCTGAAACCCATCGAGGCCATGACCCAGATTACTGGTGAGGAGACGGCTGACTTTATTGTTCCCCGGACACCCGAGACCGTCACTTTTCAGCCCTTCGACAGCACAGAAAGTATGTATAATGTCGGTAAACTTGTGCAATTATGTGCCTTTCCTTATATACAAACCCAGCTTAAAGAATAGGCAAGACTTAGACAGCTCACTGGGTCAATGTTGCATACTTACATACAACAAGAGTAGCTTTGCAGCGGCACTCTATGACACTATGGACTCTCAGCAAAAGAATATCTGTCCTCAATATGTATGCCAGTCGCCTATAGCTTCATTTGTAATAGCTTCACATCTGTATAAAGCAGCAGATTAGGATCCCACTTATGTCTGAGCTGCTCTGGTAGCTTAGTAGGTAGAGAACAGCGTGTTGCCAGTTTTGTTTCTCCTGCCTTAAAACCTTATTTCATGTGTGTTACATGGCAGACTGCTCTATGTATCTGAGAGACGATGATGTGTACGAAGGAGTGGAGACACTCAACCTGGAGTTGGACCTGAGCCCCCAGGACCCCCGTGTCCAAATAGACCCCAACAGGAAGAAGGCCACCATCTATATACACGACTCAGAGGATGGTTAGTATGCACAGTTGTCACATCTCTAGTCCTGGCATGCCCATTGCGCAGGCTGTTAAAAATGATCGCGTGCTATACGCGGTTTTGAACGGTGCGTGCTGCACAACTCTATTCATGTTTAAAAGTGAGCAGCTCGTGCACTTCACATAAAGGAGAAGCGAGAAAGATTACAAACGGGAAGTGCAAGGCAGCAAAAAATGGGAAAAGGGAACCAAATTAAGTATGCATATCCCATTGAAGTAGTTTGCAGCCTTCGCATTATGGGGCAAAGCTGCGTAGGGCAGCATGATTGGAGAGCTCTAAACATGGCTCATGGATTTGAGAGCCATGATTATATAGCCACAAGTAAAATTTTACTTACCTTAGGCTCTCTGACAGTTATACTGCCCGTAAGGCTGGAGAACTTGACTTTGAGCTTGAAAATGGAGAACAAGGGAGGTTGTGAGAGCATTATATAGAGAATCGTCACAGGAAACAGAAAATGGCAAGGGCCATTGTAGAACGGAATGCAGGACAGGCCTCTAAGCAGTTTGTATAGACAACAAGACCATTGTATGGACAACAGTGGTTTCTCAAGACCATTGTATGGACAACAAATGCCTACAGATACATGTCTCAAGACTGACACTAAAATCCTTGCGTAGAATTTGATGAGCATAATGCTACCTGGTTTTGTCCCCCCCCACACCCACACACACACACACTCAGAGCCAAAGGTGTGGTTTGCATCCACAAGCTACACGGTGCAAGAGCCCATCTCCAACTTCGAGGTTGACCAACACTACGCCATCCTCTCCCTCCGGCGCTCCGGCGATACGTCTGGCCCCTCTGCTGTGGCCTACACCACCCTCGGAGGCTCGGCCGAACCAGAAGAACACTTCATCCCCATCAACGGCACAAGTCTGTTTGAACCCGGGGACAAGACGAAGAACATCACCATCCCAATCCTGGCCAGCGAGGACTCCCTTGAGGTCAGCTTCACCGTCAGGCTCCTGAGTAATGTGGCCACATCCCCTGGCTCTGCCCCTGCACCAGCGCTGGTGTCGGAGCGAGACGAGGCCATTGTTGTCGTTCTCAACACCCCAGTGGCTGGGGTTCTCTTCCCTGACAGACCTGTGGTGGTGTCTCTTCTACCGAACGGTAGCTTTGCCACTGAATCCTCTCTCTATTTCAACGCTCCTGTCGTCTGCATTGATGTAAGTTAATGTCGCTGTAACTTAACACTTGATCAGTGATTGAGGTGCAATATAAGATGTAGGTGCGCATAAAATACTAATGTGAATTGTCTTGTTCTGCTTTTCACCAGCCGTGTGATGAAGACTTTCTCACGGTGGACGAGGAGGCGTCATCATATACCATGTACTGCAGGAACCAACAGATTGACTCCAGCCTCACAGAGTACACCTGGTTCATCTCCTCCTCTCCTTCCTTGTCTTCAAACCGAGTCTTCGACTATCAACCGGTGGAGCAGGCAACCGTCTTTACCTCCTTCGACGGGAAGGTCTTGGAGCCTGTTTACCTCAACCGGAGCACATATGTGAGGTGTTCGGCGCAGGCAATCACGAGGCTGGGAACGCGCGGTGGAACGAGGCTCAGCGCGGGGGTCTACCTCTCGAGGTCTGTCCTGTCTCTCACTGAAGACACCTGTGATTCCGTCTCCTCCTTCTTTGAGCTCCATGAGAATGATGGTTTCACTGGACATCCCGAGGTGAGCATCTTATGTATATCCATTGTAAATAATAGCCATACTATATGAGAGGGCTTTTACTGCTCCTGTCACAAAGAGTAAGGATGTTAAGCATGAACTGCCCTTGTGGGTATATCTACACAGGAGCTGCTGAGGCTGACAGTGATCTTGAAGCACCACGACAACTACATCCCTCTCGTGTCGTCTCGGCCGTTTGACCTCTCCGACAGAGAGCTCTTCCTCTCCCTCCTCACCCGTCCCTTCAGCCGAGACCAGCATTCCTGCTCCAGCCTCGTGGAGAGTGGTCAACAGAGAGCCAGCTTCCTCTCCTCCCTCCTCGCTTCCCCAGAGCTCCCTTCAACTATGCCCAACTCCCGGATCAGGGCGACCAAATCGCAGCTTCTCTACCAGCATTTCAATGCCAGCAAGTGTCACTGGGAATTTCAGGCCTGGCTCCCTCTCTCTCTGCTCACAGACTCGGCCGTGTGCAACGGACAGCTCTCAGATGAAGACCAGACATTGGCGCTGACTCTCCCTCTCTACTATGCCTATGTCCACCTCCAGCAAGACAGAGGAGTCTCCGTTCTACCTCTTGACTCCCCCCGCACTGACATAGTCCGTGCTAGCTGGCAATCAGGGCACCACCTCTCCATTCCCTTTGACACCTATCCACACACACCTAATGGTGGCATCGACAATGCAAGCTCCACATACATCTATCCAATCACAGCGAGACTCGCTCGAGGTCGGCTCACTATCACCTTCTACTCGGTGTCCAATGCCACAAGTCCTGTTGTCCGTGTGGAGGTGAAATCGAGTGGGACCACCCTACCCGGTCAGCTCCTCTATTCCTCCGCCTCCTCCTCCTCCCTTTCCTCTCCGTCAGCAGCTGCTGCAGCCGTCCGCCAGGCGTGGATGTTGTCGGGAGTCCCCCGAGATGAGGTGGGGTCCCTTTCCTTGAGTCTCTGGCTCCACCAGTGTCCCAGTACCAGCAGTAGTGGCGGCAGTGTTGTTGGCTCCTGTGTCTCCCCCTCTCCCCTCTTGTTCTCCTGGTCCATTGCCACCTCTGACTCACTGGAGCCACGCATCGCCCCTCAGATGGACGGAGCAGTGCGTTTGGCAGGTGAGTCTTAGATGACAGGGGCACCTCCCAAAATTAATTTGTACATTCTTGGCCCTTTGGTCATTTCTTTGACACTGTCTCATTTGCCAGGACATACATGTTCATATCGTTATTGAGTGTTTGATCGCCGAATGGTTAATTTATATGTACAAACCAGGGGCGTGCATACACGTGGCTGCATTATCCTCATAACAACATACGTTGCATCCTGTCATCATGGCTACATAATTGGGGAGTTAGTCTGAAAGCCAACAAGCCAGCCAGGGTGGCACACGTTGACTGGTGTTTACAGGCACTGATATGGCAGCCTGTGACAGAGTTATGACTGGGATGTCGGCGGATTTTGCCCACCACAGAGCAATTATAGCATCAAAAAACGACCGACGTTGGCACAGAATAAAGGCGGCGGGCGGCACAGCACATGTCCTGACAGAGATCACATCACTGCCGCTGCCTCATATAGAGCGAAATGTGTGCTTCTGTACGTGTGGTGCTTTCATTATGACCTCGCTATTTTATTTCAGGTGGACTAATAGAGGGTTCCATCTGGCTGCGGCAGTATTTCCGTCTGCGGGCAAACAACAGCGTCAGCCTTGACAGAGCCACGCTCTACATGTGTGCAGAGTCCACTGACAACACGTCCTGCACCTATTCTCAGATCTGGGAATTAGCTGTGAGCAAACACACACAACACACACACATGGCTGTGTGCCTTGCACAGGTCCAGTCTAGAATAAAATTCTTCCTGTGTAAAAGGTTGTGTGTCTATGGTTGGCAAGCCTATTTTACCTTTTCAACAGAACCATGACAAGCAAGTGGTGGTGGCTGAAGGATTTGACATGGAGACGATCGTAAAGAATTCTACAGCAATCCAGTTTACCATCAGAAACAAGCCTTTGCAAGAGGTGAGCACCGGTTCATCAACTGTAATAAATCAGCATGACCCCCTTCAAAGGAGCTGTCAGTGGTTTATGTGAATTAGGGCAGAATGCCTTTTGCAAAAGGCCACCTAACTCTATTCCCAGAAGTTGGAACAAAAGTGCTGTTATTTACGGCAGAATATAATTTTTGTTTCCTCCCTGTTTAGCTGGGTTTAACTGGACGCTTTCAACTTCACTTGAAGTGCAGCATCCGAAACAGTTCAGATCTAAACGCAGCCAGCCACCCAATTCCACCACTAGTCCTCTCCTTCCATCTTTCTGACCCGGAAGAACACCTCTCCAGTCAGAGCTCATTTGGGGTCTCCCACGGGATGGCTCTTCTGGCATCGTCCATCACCGTCTTCCTCACTGCCGCAATACTGGTCGCTGTCGTGTTGGTCATCGTGGTGGGTCTCCACTGGCGCTGGGTGAGACACAAAGAGCAGGCCAGGTCCAGGGCAGGGGAAGGCGGTGGTAGTGGTGCTGGCACCGAGCAAGGAGAGGGAGGAGGGAATTGTGGGTCAGCCACAGACCAAAACTCTGCCTGTGCAGCTGTGGCCAGAATCAGAAAGAGCTCCAGCACCACGTCCTTCCCGACGGCAGAGAAACTAAAGATGAGTCCACAGCAGCAGCAGTCGGAGGTTCCAGACGACGCCATGCAGGGTACCACCAGCCAGATGACGGGGCAGATTGACAGGCATCCCGTTCTCTCCAAGAGCCTTCCAAACCTTTTCCTGGCCTCAACTAGAGAAGGAAAGCTGGGACGGAAGAGGCAGCTACGCAAGAACGTCCGAGTCCAAGCAATCTACTCCCTTCAGGCAAGCCTCGACAAACGGCTTGGGAAGGGTAGAGCGAGGGTAGGAAGAGCCAGAGGCGAAGGTGGGAAAGAGACAGGGGAAACAGCAACGGTGATGGGAGAGGTAGGGAAAGCTAAGAAGAGAGAGGGAGAGCAACAACAAGACGGCGATGGTGGTTTCCAGGTGTATGTGGTGAAGAATAAGGCCTCTCCACCTGTCCTGGTGCGGGTGCAGCCTCTCACCGGGGAAGTGGATGTCTCCAGACACTCAACAGCCAGTGACTTGAAAGCAGAAGACTCTGCACTTGCAACAGAGCTGTAGGCACTGTATACGTACACTAGTTACTGTCAGTTCATCCCGAGGTTTGATGTGTTGTGTACGTATAACGTATTTTGTGTTTTTCTGGCCCTGTCATTTGTGTGTATGATGTGCTTCACACATGTGTACGTAGTGCACATGTTGGAATATGCATACACATATTTAATCCCTCACTTTTGTTACAAAAAGCATCACCAGAAGTCATATCATATCAACCGTCAATCATTTCTCAGTGACTTATCTGTAAAACATCATGCATTTTTAACTGCCTCTTACAATTAATATTGATCGACCACTGCCGCTGCTGCCAATATGTAGACGCTAAAATCAGAACACACTCACAGCATTGCTGACGCAATCTACGGGCACTGCCCATAGAAGGCATGAAAATTCATAATAATGGTGCCACACCACCTGCGATTGATTGTTGGCTGTTCATGAGAGGCGAGCATTGATTCAAGATTAAGTGGCGCCACAAGGTGGACACATGTGCGGCAATCACCACGTTGACTGCGTAAACTATACGAGAGAAATGGGCACCTGGGGGCATTTTTCCCTCCTTTTGTTTCGCAACATGTTTCGTCTCGTTTTCCACCTCTTTTTGCCAAACATGGCGTGGTGAAGCAGTGTCTGAACATTTATTGCTCTGAAATCTTTCTCAGGCTGCCAACAGCGCATCTAACACACCCTGAGATAAAAATGCTCAGATTAATAGAACTTTCGGTCTCGGCCTAGTGATATCTATGGCAGCAGGTTGGAGAGGAACTCAAAGCCTCAGATATATCTCTCTGCCTAGTGATATCTATGGCAGCAGTTCAGTCTTACCAGGAAATAAATACAGATCGCTCCATATAAGTCTAGTAATAATATCTATGGCAGCAGGCTTACCAGAAAGCAACTCAAATGCTCAGAATGTAATCACCTCAGAGCAGCAATATTGCAGCTGAGTAAAAAGTAGCTAAAAGCAATGATCTGGGATAGCCACCTGATACTTGTATATAGTAGAAATGGACAGCCAATTGTTCTCTGGTTTAAACCTGCTCAATATGCTCAACTGTAAAATTTTTGCTGTGCGTTTCAAAACGAACCACAAATTTGAGGTTAAATTACATGATACGGAATCCGGTAAGTGACATGGCGAAAAACCAACAATCTTATTCTTGTTACAGCTCAACGTCATTGGAATGGGTGATAGTTGGACCCTACGTGTGTCAACTAAAGAGAAAAAGAGTCTGGCAAGCTAACCATGGGCCGAGCCAGCCACAATCCAACACCTGTGTGTATATATGTACCTGTGCCTGTGTGTATTAAGTCTTGTGGGTAGCTTTTCCTAGAACAGCTCTCAGGAGTGCCTACCTGAGACACGTGTATCACCTTAATCCACCACTGCCCCCAATAACATTTGGCACAGCTGTGGGCTCATTATAACCACTATCCCGAGGAGTCCCAACAATAATTGCTGGCAGAGGGCTCATCTATAAAATGCAGGTGAATTTGCTAAACAATTACAGTGTATTTTGGCAAGGTTATGTGCATGTGCTTCTAAGGAAAATCTATGCAATGGAGTCTGGCTGAGGGAGAGACAGGCACTATTTAGACTGTGTATGTGTTGTGTAGGTGACAATCACAGTAGATATGGATCTGCAGTGAAAGCAGTCAGTCTGTACGCTCTCTTCTTCTTCTCCTCCATCTCGTCCCGCTGGGCCAGAGCCTGGAAAACATCACAACGCATACATACACACACTTGCCATGCCTATTATTGACTACACTATTAGGCTACACAAGCCAAGTGAAGAGAGACAGTACTACTGTACATACAATGTACACAGTTATATGCTGTATATGCACTGATCTTGAATAGCACTCCAAGTGCAATAGTCACACACTGCAAGCAGACTATATTATATGTGAAAGTGGGAGCTACTGACACTCCCCCACAGTATGACTGAGTGTGGCTGGTGGACATACCTCAGCCAGTCTCCTCTCCGCCTCCAGGAGGTCAGAGGAGGCATCCGAGATGAGTCCTGCCTGTCTGCGCTGGGTCTGCAGGGCCGTGTTGTAGTGCTCCACTCTCTTTCTTGCCACCTCCCCATGATCACTACCAATGGATGATAGAGGCAGAAGAGAAAAAATAGATAGCATAGATTCCGTGTGTATGTACATGAATGAGGACATGTAGACAACGTATACAGACATATGGAATACTTTGTTATTGGGGTGATGGGTTACAAGGCATGATCTGAATTTGGGAAATTAGAGGGGCTGCCCTTATCACACTATTATACCTGAGGGGAGAGGCCAGAGTCAGATCTTGACCAGCCTGTGCAGAGGAAACACAAAACAGTCACTATGAGGTGTTACTGTGCAGGGTAGCACACCAGATATGTCCCTCTATCTCTTTCCCTGAATATGCTACCTAGGGGACACTGACTTCCAAATAGTGGGCACGATTTTATTGACACCATCTAAATTTGTGTTGCAGCAATAAATCTCTGGGTTGTACTGTACTCCCACTCAGCTGAGCTGCAATAATGCATGATGTGGGACTGCAGGTAAATATGTACATAATATACAGACCTTTGCTGTGGGGCTGTGCTGTCTGTCAGTGGCATACGGTGCAGTGTCACTGGCTGTGGAGCCTCCCGACAGTGGTTTCAGGTGGTCCAGTCTTGCCTCTTCCCTCCACTGTTCCAATCTCTCCTTACTCCTGCATCCAAACACACACACACAGCACACACTTACATAGTGTAGGTTGTACATTACACATAGGTAGAATAAAGGAGGCCACTATCCTATCCTGATTGTGATTGAACCGGGATGGGCTACAAATTGACCTTTGTTTTTCTATTGCAGTGTTTGCTTGTAGCTTCTCTTCGGAAGTGAGTGGAGGGACATGAACGATTACTCTCCCTTGCCTTTCTCCCAGCCTCGCCTGGCCACCTTCCCTCATCTCCCCTCCACTCCTTCCTCCAGCTCCCCTTTTCACATCGATAGCATCTATCTTTCTCCTTCCCCTCTTTCCTGCTTGGCGTTGGTAAGGAGGTGAGGAGGGAGGAGGGTGAGGGTGGATGTGAGCCTGTTTCGGCACTAGCGGTCCTGACCCAAAGCAGGACTCAATGGAGTTTGTGTGGCACCTCTCTGAATGTATGGTGACATCGTACAGCATGCATTGGTTCAAGTATTGCTGGGACAGTACAAGGTTTTATCTCACCATTTGGAGCTAATGTAGTTTGCTTGAGAGGCTGATGAGGCAGCATAGTAGATTCCTCCTCTGTGTGTATTAGTACAACCTCAAAACACTGCATTCAACATTACACATAAACTCTCTTACCGCTATCAGTATCCTTCTCTTCCTCTACCCCATCTCCACTCTCCTCTGTGGCTCTCCTGGAAACTGGTGCTGGGCTCTGAGGAAGCTGAGCACTCCACTGGTTCCCTTCCTCACCACCTCAGGAGGTGGGAAGGACAGGGGATTGTCAGCCAGACCCAGACCACTCAACTGCTGCAGCTCTCCTTTCAGTAATGGAGTTTTATATACCCCTTTTAATTACTTTCCCTCCTTAAAGGAACTGTGTTAGCACATAAGAGCTAAATGTTACTGAACTAGACAGTAGTTAGGACCCAGCGTTTACGTTTTATATTATATTTAGCCCTTATAATTATACTGCCACATTGTGTTCTGAGCCAAAATCACACCAGTTGCAGAAGATCTGCACACTCAAGACCCAGCGCGTCTTACACACATGGGGACAACACGTTCTGAAAACTATAACAGATGCTCCTAGAAATGTATGACACCCATTCATAATGTGCATCACCTTAGACGGTAATGCTACAGTGTTTGTTTCCAAATGAGGACAGAGGCAGGTATATGCTCACCCAGCTGAGTAGGAAGAGCAGTGAGTCTGTTTCCCTGCAGCAGAAGTGTCTTCAAATCCCTGCAAGTACGTAGTACATACGTGTCATAAATGGCTAGCTCTCTAGAGAACACACCACGCTGCAAATGGTATTGTATGTCAATGTGTGAACACAAATGGCGTGTGAGCAGATAAACTCTTCAGTAAATGTATGAGTACGTAATGTATGTGGCCAATGTTATGCAGAAAAAGAAGAGGCTAAATGAGGGAACCAGTTGGGGATTGAACCAATACATTTATGAGCTTTTATAGACTCTCATGTGCCAGTGTGATTTATGGGAGCTACCTAAAACGTTGTATGAACTGTGGGAGGTGAGTTAGGCGATTATTTCTGAGGTCCAGCCACTGTAGGTGGGGGCATGAGGAGAACAGAGAGGGTGGGAGCTGCGACAGGCGATTCCCCTCCAGATAAAGACACTGAAGATGAACATGACAGCCCAGTTTGTCAGTTAAAAACATGGTGGACAGCTCAGTTACATTACTCACCCTCAGGTGCTCACAACCTTCCATCTCTGGAAGCTCAGACATGTCCCTCTTGCTCAGGTCCAGGCACGGTAAGGCCAGGGCACTTGCTGACGAGACGTCCAATGCACACTCCATTACCTTGCGATCTCCGCTGCTAGAGCTGCAGCTTGTGCTTTCCAGCTGTGAGCGCGAAAAATGTGCTGACGTCTGCAGAACTGTTGCCGGGCAACGTAACTTTGTGCGCACGCCGCCAAAATAAACATCAAAATACGTCATTTACGGGCCGGTTCACGGAGTGATGCATGGGGGTGGGAGGAGTCCTCCGGCAGTCCAGAGCTAGGTCCTGGTGCTGCTGGGGGATGTGTGTATGTCAAGGGAGTTTGCGAGTGTTTAGAGCGGGCGAGACGAGAGGAGATCGGCCATGGGCAGCTGTTTCACGATAGAACCGGATGTAGACTTCGACGGACCGGGTACGTTGGTAGTTCGCTGGCCGGGAAACGGGGGTCCGAGGGGGTCTGGGCAGTTCAGAGAGAAGCTAGTGGAACGAGAATGCTCTTTCGTGTATCATGGTGTATGGGTGTTTTGGGCTAATTTGCACTCCTAACTGCAAGTGATAGGTTTTTCTGTCCTTTTCACTCTTGCAGTTGATTTCGACCATTTCCACATCCTCAGAGCAATTGGCAAAGGGGCCTTTGGAAAAGTAAGTTTTCTACCATCCACTCCTCACAACTCACTCACACTTCAGACTATTTGCAGGGGCTTGTACCAATTAGCAGCACGTTTATAAAACGTGTGAAGACACTAACTTTTTCTAGCTCGTCTGTGTATTTGTCGCCCCTGTCAGGTATGCATCGTCAAGAAAAAGGACACGAAGGAAATGTACGCCATGAAGTACATGAACAAGGTCCAGATCATCAAGAAACATGCAGTGGATAATGTGTTTCGAGAGGTTGAGATTTTGTGTCAGTTGGAGCACCCGTTCCTGGTGAACCTGTGGTTTACCTTCCAGGACCAGGAGGACATCTTCATGGTCCTCGATCTCATGCTAGGTGTGCTCTCTCTCCTCTCTCTCTCTCTCTCCTCTCTCTCTCTCTCTCTCTCTCTCGCTCGCTCTCTCTCTCTCTCTCTCTCTCTCTCTCCCTCTCTCAGTCTCTCTCCTCTTTCACTGTCCTTTTCCTTACTTGTCTTGTTTTCTTGTTCTCTTATTGCCCTCTCATTGCTCTGCATTACTCTTACTCATTGGATAAAGAGTGGAGAAACATTCATTGCGTGTGTTTTCTGAATCACCTCCTGTTTCTGACCTAAAATGATGTGGGAAGGTTCTTTACTTCCCCAAGGCATGGCTCCCTATCCTCTCCACAACTCACCAAAAAGCCCTGAGAGACCATTTCTTTAAATGTTTTGCACACGAAGTAGCCAACTTTGAGGGAGAAAATTTCATGATTTGGGAGAATTTCACGGATGAAATTTTCATGGGTTGTCTGTTCTACTGTATCAATGGTCCCCGTGCAAATAATGTAGAGCGATCGTGGAAGCTTTCTCTATTGAAAGTCTTCCCTGTTGTACGATGTGTACATACACTACTTATGGTATCTTCTATTATAGTGCCTAAGCCGCATTTCCTGCAATTACTACAGGAGAGGAAATGCTACAGTTGCGTTGTTAGTGGCAGTGTATTGCTGAGAGCCAAGTGTATACAGCTGTCCCGCTTGGCCGAATTCCTTATATATACCATGCACTGGCACCTCCTCTCTATCGTAGTGTCTGTATAATCCTCCCTCCTCCCCCTTTCCCCTTTATCTGGGGATATTGTACAGACTGTCACTCTAGTAGTATAACTACATATGCACCTTTTCGCCATCCCTATGTATACACCCACAGTCAGTGATTGTACACCCACACGTAATGGTGGTGTTTCAGGCACTGTGTCCACACAATGGAGCAATCAGTGTTGCTGGCCACTGTACTGTCTCTGACCTACATATGGCAGTTTGGGTGATGTATGTATGGGGGGTTATTGTCACAGACTTGGCATTAACCCGGGCGATTGCCGAATATATGTTTGCATTGTTTGGCAGTTGTAGCAAAGTGTCCATTATAATCGGGTGTGACTGGTCTACATATTATTATGTACATGTCTGCTATGTCTGACTTCGTGTTGTCCTACACTGTGTGTGTGTAGCCCTACGACAGCTACGTGTATTTCAGTGTGCAGGCTACGTACATATGTACATGCCCACCCATTCATTCTATTCGCACTGCAAGAGACCTCAAATTTTCCGTGTTTTCCTAAGTTTTAGCATTACTCTTTCCTCACTGCCCAACCGCACCTCTCACCCCTTCCCCCTCTACTTCTCTTCCCAATTCTCTCCTCCTCCTCTCTCCCTCGCCTCCTCTCTCCTTCAAAACGGTATATTATATCAATACACAGGAGGTGACATAAGCTACCATCTGGAGAAACAGGGAAGATTCACGTTAGCGAGGGTCAGACTCTACGTGGCTGAACTGAGCCTCGCTCTGGAGTACCTGCGAGAGCATCTGGTGATCCACCGTGACGTGAAGCCAGCCAACATGCTCCTGGACTCTGGCGGACACGTCCATCTTACTGACTTCAACGTGGCGTGTATAGTTCGACCTGGTGTGGCCATCACATCTGTCACGGGCACCAAACCATACATGGGTCAGTGAGTGGTCCGCATACACCTTAATGTGCTCATAATGGTCTATGTGAGATTAGGTGGTTCTTTAGATATGCCATTGGATATACAGGAAACTGTGTACATAGTATATATGTACCTCTTTGGGTTCAATCAATGACCTCTTTTGTTGAACAAATTGCACATGTGTATTAAACATGAACCCATGTTTGTGCTGTGTTTGCAATAATGCAGTTGCGATAGTGACTTTTGGAAGCGTAGTAGAGTAATGATTGTGTTGAGTTGGCACACCTCCACTCAGCGTCCATCCCAACCCAGTTGAACAAACACACTTGTAGTCAGCATGCATAATAATTATGGCACATTGCCAGAGAAATGATATCAAATTCCTACTTCCTCTCTGTTTTCTCTCCTGTTCTTGTCTCTCTGTCCTCTTCTTCCCTGTACCCCCTCTCCTTCCCCTCCCTCTCTCTCCTCCCCTTCTCTCCCCTAACCAGCCCCAGAGGTTCTCAACAGTCACAACTCCACGGGGTATTCCTATGCGGTGGACTGGTGGGGTCTGGGAGTCAGCGTCTATGAGATGCTTCGTGGACAGGTATACAGTATTCAAACTTCTTTCACTCCTTTAGGTTCCTGTTTCACCATCATTAGTGTCGTGTGTATATACCTGTGCTTTTCATTGCCATCATAAATGTCTGTAGGTGTGGGTGTACATGTATATTAGACGTAACCACTCTTTCACTGTTTGGTTGGGAGCCAGCATTGTGGAGTGAATGATGAAAGGGAGAGAGTGTTTAGTTTGCCGAGCGCGTTAGCGTGAGGCAACTACTCCGGGTTGTATTCTCGCGATATGCGTACGTGTCGGTCACGCTTAAGAATGTCAATTAGTCACGCTTGAGGAATGTCCATTAGTCACGCTTGGGGAATGTCATTAGTCACGCTCGGGGAATGTCAACTTCCGTCAAGTCTAGCTTCCGTCGTGCGCGCGCGCAGATTCGTGCGCAGTCAGTAGAGCGCGCGAACGAGCGGCCTCAGCGGACTGTTTACACACGCATTGGCTGGGCAGGCGCGAGGCAAGATATGCGCGTGCGCATTCCTAGTATGTACATCTGTACACTGTATGTATGTAGCATGTGCACCCGCTGCTGCAAGTGGATCAGCTGTAAGGATAATGTGATGGGAGCAAGTTACATAGCTGGTCACTCGTAATATTGACAAAGTATCAGTAAAGTCTGTATTGGCAAAGTTTTCAATACCATTGTGTGTACATTATTGTTTATACTATCCTCAATGCTGTAAGATGTGGTCCATGAAAGGCATACATCCTAGCAGTATAATATACAATGAGCCTGTCAGTGGCTGTATTCTATGGTAGTCCTTTGTCTCCATAACTCTTCTTTCTCCTCTTACTCCTTTCTTGGCTAGTATGCTGGACATACCATCTTTTAGCCGGGGACATTTGTAGTGTGTGTGTGTGTGTCTGTTTTACCAGCCATCTGCTGGACATCTGTGGCATGTGTGTGTACATAATATTTCCTCAGAGGCCGTTTTCCATCGACCGGCACATGACGAACGAAGAGATTGTGTCCAACATTCGACACACGCGGCCGTCTGCCTCAGTTAGGTGGGACCACCAGACATGTGACCTCCTCAAAATGGTGAACCTCTCTTTCTTAGCTCTGTTATTCTCTCTCTCTTTCTCCCTCCCTTCCCTTCATTTACATACCTTCATCTTATTCCTTCCCTCCTATCTTTGAGCAATAGCTGACCTCTCCTGCCTATTCTATTGGCCAACCAAGGGTGTCCCCTTCTCTTACCACTCATTCTCAAATCTTTGTTGAAATGATCTAACTGCCACATGTCCCCCACAGATCACAATATTACCTGATATTGTATTGCTTAAGCAAGTGTGAAGTGCATCTGGTACAAATTGCCATCATGCGTGTGCGGAATGTGGTGTGTGCATAATGCATAGACAGTGACTGGAATTGTGTCACTGTTGCAGTTGGGAATTGTGTAGCTCTTATGACTCAGGTTTACATGTGTCCTTTATACTGTGATTGTATGGTAGAGTACAGAAGTCATACATGTATGTATGTACATACATGTGTGTGAGATTATAGGCACAGGTTTGTGGTTTTGTCTATGTTCGTTGCATGCTGGGATTCCTCTCATGCATGTACAAGTCAACCACTTGGCCACTCCTCATATACACTGTAACCTTAGTCTACGTGTGTTTCCAGGAGAATACGTATGCCCCACCTAAATAGTACATACTGTAAAAAGCCGCCTAAATAAACTACTGTGTGTGTGTGTGTTACGGGCTACTACTACCACTCTACCAGACTGTCAATGAGACAGTTTATCATGCGTGCCTGTCTATGTGGTACATACATACACTGTGTCTGCATGTTTTGGGTGGTATGGCAGCTCAGGCAGTTCGTACTGTATGTATAATACTTCGAGCGGCTGTTTAGTAAAGCCAATGAATAGTTCACAATCCTATTTTGCCTCACTAACTTAGCACACAAAGTACACTAGGTATGGAGGAGAACGATGACAAAGAAAGCAGTTATCATACTTAAAACTCTATAGTCTACGTACTGTCTCCCACAGTTTTGTGTGTGTGTGTATGTTGCTGATACATACACACCTCCTGTGTAACACACCCACACTGCTCACTCACTGACTGTAGCTGCTCCATCCTGATGACAGCAAACGGCTGCAGAGTGTCGAGAGCATGAGGAAACACCGGTTCTTCAAGGACATCGACTGGGACCAGGTGGAGTGCAAGGAAACCACGCCCGTCTACATACCAGCTGTAAGACCACACCCATGTTTTTACACCCTACATATATGTGTGGTTGTATTCCTTAGTAAGAGGTGGTGGACCTGTTGTGGTTGAGACTATAGACCGTGTATACCTTATGGGGCGTGCATAAAAGACTCTTTAACCTACCACCCCGGTTCTCAAGGCTGGGCACCCAGGGTCCTGCCTCTTTCTTTCTGTTTATATGTTATTGTCTGTGTTTTTGTACGCTTGGGTATGTTATTGTCTGTGTTTTGTGTGCTTGGGTGGGGGAGGTTCTTTCTTTTCCTCTGAGCTAGTATGCTATAAACATGTTTTTTCATGTGTGTGTATGCTGTGGCTAGTGTGTGTAATGGTGTGGGTTGTTTAGGTCATTGGCAGTGAGAGACCTTGCCAGTTCACACAGACACTCCTTAATCAAATAGGGGCCTTGTCCATGAGTACAGCAATAGCTGAAAGCCCCTGTTGTCATACTGACGGTGCCCTCATTTCAGGGGTGCCCTTAGAGAGGGGTTTATGGTGTCATACAATTCCCATGATTCATATAATTCCACGGAAATATAGTAGGAGGGATGTTTGTGCATGTTGTCTGCATATGGCCCCAGTTCCTGGTTGTGTAAGCTAACAAGACCTGGTTAATAATCCTGTGTCTGTGTGTTTTTTTAATCAGTTTATGAACACTCTTGTTCTCATGTGTATACTTCTTTCATCGGACACCACATGTGTCAATGTGGTGTTAATGTACTTATGTGTGTACTGTCCATAAAAAGGTAATTATAGGAGCAATGATGTAAATCCGTTTCTTCCGTCTCCCCCAGCAAAATCGGATACACTGTGATCCGACTCATGAACTGGAGGAGATGATTGTGGAACCGAATCCTCTGCACAAGAAACACCACCGACTGTCACGTCGAGCTGTAAGTCAGGGGAAGAAGGAGATGGAAGGAGGAGAGAGAGAGATGAAACGAGAGAGAGAGGGAGACAAGAGGATGAGAGAGTGTGTGCGTGTTATGGCTGCCAGGGGGACATATTATAGTACAGTGTGCCAATGAGCATCTGTGTTCTGTCCACTATGTACATACAACATACACCCTTCCCCTTCCTCCTCCATTGTTTCCCCTCTGAACACACACACACACTCCACACGAACACACACACACACACACACACACACACAGTTCAAGGTAGAGGACGAGACACTGATGGAAGAGCTGGAAAGAATGGAAAGGAGGTTTTCAGTCTACAATCGAATGAGATTAAAGGATGCGCAGAGGTCAGCCAACAACACACTTACGCAATCATGTGCCAGTGACGTAATCAGTAGTGAGTACTCATCATCATTGTCCTTATATAGAGTTGGTATAGAGTTGACTGCCATACAATGCTACAATATCTAGTGCTACATGACCATGTGTTTGCAAAACTGAGTGTGGTCGGGATGTGTAAGATAATAATCAGGTTTCAAATAACAGCACGACACTCTACACACGCGCTTAAGTCAAAGTCGTGTAAACACAAACAACTCTCCTACCATTTTTTTAACCTCCCCTCAGACCTACAAGTGAAATTGCTGACGGTGAGCTTCAGGACTCAGCGACGGACGGGGAGAGTAGGGAAAGTCTGGACCAGAAACTAGAAGTTGATGCCGTCGTAGTACCCCAGAAGAAGAGTGAGAGTAGGTCAAGTGATGGTGTGACTCGTGGGTCCCCAGCTCCGGGAAAAGAGGCTTCGACACCACCGCAGCAGAAAGACGAGGGAGGAGAGAAGGTGACGGGAGAAAGGAAGGAGGAGGAGGAGGAGGAGAGGGAGATAAATTCTGTACCCACGGATGCTGCCGGTGACGGTGGTGATAGAGAGTCAGACAGAAAACTGATTGCTAGTGGTGGGGAGAAAGAGGGAGGAGGGGGAGGAGGGGAGGAAGAGAGCGGGACAGTGGCTGGAGTCACGTCTGAGCAGGACATGACTGTGGCACCAACCCCTCGAGATACCACCACTGCCACCATTGAAATTGAATCCACTAGAGACACACACAAAGGAGCTGAGGGCAGCGAGAGAGAACCTGTGATTGTTATGCCCAACAACCCTGCCGCGCCCTCAGAGGACGCCCCCGTCATTAGTGGGTCGTCGTCGGTCGAAATGGGAAGCCCCGCCCACTCCGACGACGGTGCCCATGACGACAACGTTTCGCCCACGCAAACAGACTCCCCAAACTTAAACCCTGTGGAACGGACGGACTCTATGAGCAGCGGGGCTCTCCTGTTGCCACGAGAACAATGACGAGTGCCCCGCCCTCTCTGTGTAATATATTTTATGAAACACTATCGGATAAGTTATTCATTCACAATATAATTGAGTCAGCATGCACACCTGCTCCCCTTTGAAGGTGCCTCTGTTAAAAAAGGTGTATTACATAGAATGTGTGCAGTGTGTGTGTGTGTGTGTGTCTTATCTTCATTTTCGTTCAGCTAGAAATGATGTCGCAGTGCCAGCTGTGGTACTAGCATTATGTACATGCACTCCTCCCAGTCCTGTATGATATAATATTGTCATAGGTTTTATTGGCACTATTGTACTGAAATTCTATAATTATAATTATTATACTATTTTATTTTTGTGGTGTCCATTGTTGTAAGGTAAAAGAAGAGGATAAAAGTACAGTCACGTGCAAGGCTGGTAGCACCACTTTAGTGAACTGTGGTATGTACAATATTTTTGTTAAATCCGATCCTTAATAATTATACCCTGCCAGCTGCCAATCTTTGGTGCTGTAAATACATGTATTACTTACATGTAAAAATATGCTGCACTGATAATAAATACACACTTGGTGGGTACAAAAAACATGCCTATAAAACATCATGTACAAACATGTGGTGGCACAGTTATGATGTGAACTGTATGTGTACGTCAAAGAGTTTGTGGGTGTGTGTGTGTCTGTGGAAAATTGGCATGGCGGCTGCAGCTATGCATTGCTACCGTTGCTGATAGGTCTGGACGCCTGTCTACTGGCCGGCAGAGACGAGAGAGACGGGTTTGCTGATGACATCACCACGACTTCGTCCAGCGGCTGAAGTGAGGAGCGGTTGGGATGGGAGGGGCGGTTGTGGCGTGGGGAATTGCCGGAGAACGAGGCGGCTTTAACCCTCTCGGAGCCGTCCACGGCGGGGGTGGAGAGGGTGCCAGAGAGAGGGTGGCGAGGGTTAAAAGTGGAGTAGAACCTCTCGTGGTCTTCCCTCTGGTTTTGGAACTTCTCCTCCAGTGCCTGAGGGGGTGTGGTTTGAGTCACATGACAATCACAAACAACTCAGCGTAACTTGTGAACTCGATTGCATCAAAATCACATGACATTCACATGCAGTCAGTAAGGCTGCAGGCAAATACCATAAATAAGACAGCTGTCTTTTCGAGTGGGGTCTGGTATAATTATACGTATATACCACAAGACAAGGCTCTAAAAAGAAGGGTCTTGGCAGCCAGAGAGTCTGAGGGTCTCAATGAACATGTGGCAATGAGCCCACAACTATACCCAACGAGCTAATGAGTGGGTAATTGTTGGAACCCATGTCCCATTAGAGAGTGAATAGAGTCCATGGGAACCCTCAAAGACGACCCAGAAATTAGGACCCTGCAGCACCCTAATAAATCAGGACACCTTTTTCTGCCACCATTGGTGAGTTGTTATATACTACCTGGGTGTCTGAATTGGAATTTTTTCTATTTAACGGTGAACGGACCAGCATACCGTAATGTTTACGTGATCTAAATAATATGTGCTAAAACACGTTAAATGTTCGCTTCGCTAGTATATAGCTTATGTGCTTACAGTAACTCTCTTCTGTCCCATTAGCGTCTGAATTAGAGGGGTTATCAGGGTTTATACATGTACCTGTCTCCTTTTGGTGAGGTCACTCCTCCAGTCTCGCAGTTCGTGCGTGTGCTGCTCGTCTCTCTCCTTCAGCTTCTTGTTCTCGTGCTGTGTCAGCATCATCTTCTTCTCGTTCTGCGTGGAGAAAGAAGAGAGAAAGAGAGAGGAAGAAAGGGGAGAGAGAGAGAGAGAGGAAGAAAGGGGAGAGAAACAAACAAGTAAACAACACTTAACGTGCAGCAGGAAACATTGGACGCCATGGGTATCTCCTCAAATAAGCAGAAATTGATGTATAAAGTATGTGTTATGACCCCATCTAAATTCTTATGGACTTATGGAGGCTCTGGACACATTATGTGTCCGTGGCTGATTAAGTGTTAAGAGGAAAGTCTTCTCACAAATCGATATGGATTGATACAAGAGCCCGTCACAAAATGTGGAAAATATCCTTTACGGATGGCTCGAAAAGTTATTCTCTCTCAAAAATCCTACATAAACATACGGCACATGGAGTATAGTATACATACCTGTATTTCTTGTAGCTCCCTCATGTTGGCATCCAACTCTGCCTTGAGCGTCTCCATTTCGTGTTGGTGTTTCTCACCCATCAGTTCCATCTCCATACGAGCACGTTTCTGGTACTGCTCCTCTACCTGATGGACGCCGTTCATGAGAGTGAGGGGGGACAACAGAGAGTGTGTGAGGGGGAGAGGGGGAGAGAAGAAGGAGCAAAGCAACGTTTATTTAGAGCCCAGAACGAATGCAACGTATTGGTGGTGTGCAAACAAAGACCGAGTCATTAACCATCGGCGCGCATGCGCAGCGAGGGGGTAAGGGCGGGTAATTCGGAATAACTCACGTTGCGGCGGCTATTTTATAAAATAGTTTGGTCAGGGCAGGCTGTCACTGTTATTACAGGTAGAGTTGGATCTTAGCTTATACATACCTGTTGTTGCGCTCTAGGTCCGTGCGTGTCTCTGCGTGAAGAGAGCTCATGTGGTTTACCTTTCTTGACTTTCAGTTGACTACTGACTTCCAAGGTGATAGGCGATCGGAAACTGCGATATGGCTGCTAGAAGTAGAGCATGACTACTGGCGATGTTTCTAAAACAGCTAAAAGCAGACTGGACAATGATAGGGACTCAAAATCACATCGAACCATGCAAGCTGACACACCACAGCCAGTTTACAGTGATGTAGCATACCAAGAGGTCAAAGTTTGCGACGCGCGACAGCTAGCTCTGGGCGCGCGAAATCACCTATGCGTTAGTAACGGATAGAAAACAGTATCACGACGGCTATAATCCTATGTTATGGCAGAGTATTTTCAGGCATGGATATGTACGCTGCAGAGCTATACAGGTTAAGACGTACTCGCTGCTGTTAGCTCTTACTATTCCCGAATTAACGAGCGCATGCGCGATAAACGGACGGGACCGAGAATCGGTCCCGCTGCGAACAACGAATACGATGTAGAAAAACGTTCTGTTTCGCCATGACAGAGAATAAAGGTTAGTGTATCTCTGCTTGGTTTATTTTTAGTATTCCCTTGTTGTTGATTGCATTCAAAGAAGGAACGTTTTTTATGAAGTTCATCCGAATTACCCTCCCTACTTACAGTAGGTGGGGTTGTCGTGTGTCTGTTGTTCCTACTGTATACATCTAACCTCTCGAAAG